TAAATGTAGGGTTACGAGCGAACAAAAAAGTTCTGAGCAAACAAATTTTAGGGACATCCTGTATAGCATGGTTGCCGCCGCCCGATCAAAGTCAAAATTGGTTCAATGATTTTGCTTGATATTTGTTTACCCTGTACCAAATTTCAACGCTCTATCATAAATGGTATTGAAAATATTTAGAAAAATGTGTTAAAATTTCTGAACTTTGATGGCCCATATCTTGGCCATTTGAAGACTTTTATAATAATTTTTTTTCACGAATCGTCATCATTTTTGCTCTAGTATATGAGGTTAATTTTATGCCCCGAGTCACCGGAACACCCTGTATAAAGTGTAACAAAAGTTTAGAAATGCCTAATTTACTTATAAATGAAATATGCCATAACATTCCCACTTATTGTGGTAGAAGAGTTAATAAAGGTGCTAACTCCAATACTTTAGTTAAACTAAATCAACTAATTAAAATATCATTTAAAGCCAAATTTAGCTTTAAAATATGTTTAAATGAATTTAAAATGTGTGTCAGTAAGTGCTTTTAATTTCACTCCCTCTCTAAAAAGCAGGAAGTTTGGGAACAATGGGACAGCTCTAATTCTTCCTTGTCACATCCTCATGCTTGAAATGCTCCAGTTTGCGGTTTTGAGTTCGCTCGCAACACTCGTTGGGTAATTCGCTATTGTTTCAAGGCGACATTGTTAGAAATATCACAAAAAATCAGTTTTGCGATAATTACACATTTGGCACAACTTTTATTATGAGTACTAGTTCCTAAACACATTCTCTTTCGAAACTTTTTTTGCGGTAATTATAATTTATTTTGTTATCATTGTAGGTTTTTTTTTTTAATTTAGAAAACTTTGTAAATGAAATAATAACTTTGAGGTTCATTTTAAAGTCAAATCATGCAAATACGGTCTCACTTGAGATTTTATTTACCTACTTTACTTTCACAACAATTTAAAATCGTTTATCTCCTCGTGAGGGAGAATTCGCAATTTAGTCGACTTTTTTTTTATTCGCCGAAGAAAGTGGCTTACTTCTACTTTCATTCGATCGAATGATAAACGTATTGTTACTGAAGAATAATGAGTTATATTATTTTCTAGATTGTAATTTTATTTGTTTTATTAAATGTTTTACTTACATTCCATGTCATCGAAAAAACGAAGCTTTGTAGATTTTTCTTTTTTTGGTTTAACATCTAAAAATAAAAAAGTATTTAAAACAAAACTATTTCGAGGGATTTTATTCAAATCAAATTAATGAAACGTGAAATGAAATTCTAGTCTATACGAAAACGGGTCATTCAATTTATAAAAATGGGAAATTTCAATTCTAGTCATCATTTATTTATACAAAAAGTTTTGCAACAATACTAAAAATGATGTGGGTATAGAAAATTGAAATTTCAATTTGCGTTTCAATGTATGTATTGTTCTGTTACTATAAACGAAACGTATTCAAATATTTATAACCAATTTAACTTTGCAATGTAACAAGAAATTTTAATAAAATACACAAAGTTTAAATTAAATATTTAAATTTATTGTACCCACCTTCAATATCATTTTCTAAGCATGAAATAATAGTTATCATCCAAAACCAAAGTAAAATAGTCGAAAGAGAATAATTGACCATTTTCAGGAAAGAAGAAAGAATCAGAGTGGAACAGGCAGTTTCACTGTTTCACGCTTTTGAACAAAAAATGTTGGGTCTTTTATAGTTAACAACATCCACACACTTTTTTGATTACTTAAAAAATTAATTTTTTTAGTACGAAATTTGTTAATCTATACACTATTTATTTAACCACATGTCGGATCACTGATGATCGGGCTACTGATTTGTTTTGGAGTGGAACCAGACTGAGACAAAGTGAGAGTAAAATCTCTTAACACCGAGCCGGTGTTACATTGGAGAAATTTAATGTAATTTTTTTCGAATGTCCGAATAATATTCTCCACTCAGTTTACAACCGTTTCTCTTCAACTTTAAACGCATTTTTAGCCTATAAGATTACCAAAGAATTCCCAACTTTTACTTAAACTTTTCAAGTGAAAATTGTTCTAATTAAATTACAACATATAATTATTTCGAAAATCTTTGTATCAAAAAGGTTTCATTTTCATAAAAATCACTTTCACTTAATTATGTTCTTTAAAAGTTTACGTACATCATATGATTCATGTATAAAGGACGTCAAATAGGAGTACCCAGAAGAAGAGAAATTACGTTTTCGGTGAAATGTCAAGCAACAAAAACAAGACTTTCACTCTTTAAATCTTCCACTCTTTATCCATTCTGAACGAGAAACCGCGCGGTGGTGGGCGCCACAACTATAAGCTCACGCGGCTTCGGCACCTGCCTTTGGGTTAAGGTTAAGTCTATGACACACTTTCTTTAGGAAAGGTCTAAGTCAGTCGGTGGAATGTAGAGAGAAAGCTAAAGTTAGATTTACACCGTAACAGAAAAAAAAATAGTTTCCTGCTTAGTTCTCTAAGCAAAAAAATAAGAACGAAGAGTTGCAACAATTTATAACCCATGCATTGAATGACACCGATGATAAATTTAATGAAAACTTGACGATTTTATAGCAGAATTTTATTGATTTATTTACACAAACAAAAATATGAAAGTTTATAAATTATTTATTACTCGTAAAAAAATATATTTAAATACATTAGAATATTTTACATAATATACATCAAATTTACAGTTATATTTCAAGAATAAATAATTGATCTTATCCAATCGGCTGTGATTGATGTGGAATGATAAATTCCTGGTTGATGAGGTTCTCCACAACCAAATCCTGCACTTATTAAACCGGCCAAAGTCCATCTTCCACCTTGGAGGACAATTAGAGGACCTCCTGAGTCACCTAAACAAGCATCATGATGACCATCGGCATGTCCTGCACAAATCATTTCATCGAATAGTTCCACTTTTATATGTTTGGTTTTGTGCCAAGATATACATTCCTTGATATCTAAAAGTAATAGAAAAATTGTTTAATTATGAAATAGAAATCAAATATTTTTTAAGGTTCGAAAAATCGGACGACTACTTTAAGCAATTAATATCAGAGGATAGACCTAACTTCTCAGAATAACCACAAAGGACGAAATGAAAGCACTTAATGCTTGCAGCTGGTGACAATTCCAGGAGAGCCATTTCTAGATAATTGTTGATATCTGTAATAAAGACTTAGAAGTGTTTGCAACAAGTGATTAAACAATATTAAGAAATATAATTGAAATAAAACTATGTGTATTTATAGATGAATTTTTTAATTTTCAGCTCTACCGGTTTCGATCGTACATTCAATCATCCTCAGGAGCAACGTCATTATACATATTTTTAAAAAACATATTTGTTTGTTATTCAAGCTGCTATCTTCTTGATTACTTAATTTTTCTCCTCGTTGTTACCTTGTTATCGATTCAAATCAATCCTCGTTGTTTTTTGAGGTTCAACCTCAAAAAAGTAAAAGAAACACATGGCGCATAGTGGGTAAGAAAAACATATTGAATAATATTGAATTGATAACAAAGTAACAACGAAGAGAAGAATTAAGTAATCAAGAAGATAGCAGCTTGAATAACAAACAAATATGTATAATGACGTTGCTCCTGAGGATGATTGGATGTACGATCGAAACCGGTAGAGCTGAAAATTAAAAAATCCATCTATAAATATCATTAATATTATTACTTCCCATCTTGTTAGAATATTTATGTGAATAATAAAGACAACATTGTAAAGACTAACACGATTAACGTGATCTAGAAAATAAGAAAAAAACATAAAATTAGAAACAAATTTGACATCATTTAATAACAAAGAATTCAAGAAAACGTAAATAAAAGAAAAGATGAATTCAGATTATGAAAATTAAGAGTGAAACTGACGTGGCTATTGTTCCTGAAGATGACTAAAAAAGAATAGTCGAAACCGGTTGAGCCGAAAATAAAAAAAATTCCACCCTTCTGAAAAGCAAAGTTTTTTATTCACATAAACATCTATAAATACACATAGTTTTATTTCATTTATATTAAAATTGAGATGGAAAGAAATAACCAAATGAATAATATTCAGAAAGTTCACTGGTGTAAATAAAACCTCGATAAGTTTCAATAAGCTTATCTTTAACCCTAAAACAAACTTTACAAGCAAGTGCTATCCGAAATCTACATCTTAAACTGTGTCGATTTCACATGCAAAACAAGAAAGTAGAAAATTCGGATACAACCAAGAGATAACTTTTTCGTATGCACTGCATATCAAATATAATCATATTATTTTAAGTACAGTGAATTCCACTTAAAATGCAATATACAAAAAATTATTTTCATAGAAACCAGGAACCTTGTCCCACATAAAATGCAACATGTCTGAATGTTTCTAATTCTAGATCTAATGTTAGGTCCAGCTCTAATGTGAAGACGCAAGGCTAAATCCGTTGTTTTCTAGATCTAGGTCTTGTGTTAGTGTTAGTGCAAAACAAGAACTAACGTTAGACCTAAAACTAGAATCATTCGGGTTTAGCCGTCTTGAGAGACGTGCGGCTAAATCCGAATGTTTCTAGTTCTCGGTCTAGTGTTAGTTCCAGTTTTGGACTAGAATTAACACAAAACCTAGAACTGGAATCATTTGGGTTTAGTCGTCTTGAGAAACGTGCGGCTAAACCGGCATGTTTCTAGTTCTAGATCTAATGTGAGTTCTAGTAACAGTGGTAGGTAGCGCTAGTTAACATCAGATATCACTATGTTGTATATTTTTATTGCACTAAAACTAGAACTAACACTAGACCAAGAATTAAAATCATTCGGGTTTAGCCGTCTTGAGAGACGTGCAACTAAATCCGAATGTTTCTAGTTCTCGGTCTAGTTTTAGTTCTAGTGATAGTGCTAGTGTAAAAGTCTAACTAACACTAGACCTAGAACCAGAAAGGAAAAATTCGGGTTTAACCATGCGGAAACTCAAGGTTGTCCCTTTTTTCCAAGCAAAACTTTTCCTTTGCAAAACTACCCCATGTCTGTATTATGAAGCAATTTTGCATTTTATGTGGGACACTGAATTCATATATTGCAAGTTATATGAAATTCCCGATATATTTTTACCTAATATAGGTACAGTAGCACTTCTTAGAATATTAGTACCCATTAATTCCGCCGTTGGTTTGGTTTTTCCCCAACCGGCAACAACACCCTCTCGATTACGAAGATCCAAATGTCCTTCCGGTAAGCATATCGGAGCTATATGATACGAAGAACCGGCTTCTGTTACTAATTCTAAAAGAGCAACGTCGAATCTATCCGGTTGGGTCCTCCTAAATTGAAACTTTGGGTGAATAATCTTGGTTTTTACCTGAAATTTTTATGAAACAATAATAAGAAACATGAAATACAAACCTGGTTGAGTATTCAATTTAATCTCGTTTAATCTGCAGACTGTAAACACTTGTATCAAATAACCTACCCTGTGGAGCTCTGCGGGTGCGAGTTCTACCACCGACCCGGTGTCTTGCGTATCCAATTCTCCAAGATAAACAACAATATCGTATAACTTGGCCTTTATGATACAATGAGCAGCTGTAGCGACATATTTACTTGATACTAAAAGTAGAGTTAACGAAATAAATAAAAAAACTTATAAATATAGATTTAAAATACCTAATACACCTCCGCATTGATAAGCAGAAATCTTAATATGAGCCTGCCATGGGAATTGTCCAAAATACGCATCCTTTCCACCAATAATTCTTTTTGAAAGTATTCTGTTAGCTGATATTCCACATTCAAATATAAAATCATCGTTTCGACGTTGCAAAACACTATCTTCATTCGAGTCCCTACAAATTAAAATTTGTTATTTATACATTAAATAAACAGAACAATTTATTTACATTTGATCTTTAATATCGTTTTGATCAATCACTTGATTTTTATTCAAAAATCCTTTTTTCTTAATAACGCAACATCCAACTAACCAAGGATTTGATCCACACCCTTCCTCGCTAGATCCACCAGCTAACCAACACGTTACCGATAATGTGCAAGAATGTGATGATCCTTTTCTTTGACATTTTGGAGGATATCCAAGCATAGTAACGAAAGCTCTTCCTACAATAAAAAAAATCTTATTAGTAACACGGATTTTAGAAAATCTAAAAAGAAATGTAACTGTTAGTGGGATGATCTCGGATATGAAAGTTGTTAGTATGGTATCATATATTGCAGTTCAGTAGGTTTTTCATTTTCGCACGGTCGAATGAAAGCAGCTATCTCTAACAGACTGGAAAGAAATGGAGAAAGACGTTATCCTTCCCTTTCAACAACAATATTCTCAATATTACGTCCGCTTTTTAAAATCTTGTCATTATTAACAATAGTATAAGTCACAAAAATAATTACCTCGAGAATCAATTTCTTTATTTTCCGTGACATTTCTAACAAATCTCCACTGTCCAAGAAACCCAAACACCTGGACACTACATAGCAACAACAACGTTGCGATTCTCATTTCTCGACCATGTTTACGTGAATCGAACGCATTTCGCACTACAATTTCTCAAAATTTCGCCGAGGCATCGTCGGGAGCTCTTATTGGTCGTGTTTTCAAGCGTGAGGAAGCAACGACGAGTCTACGCGACGACAACGTCTTTAACCATAGACGACCGCCCGGAAAGAAAGAAGAGGGACTTAACAGTAAAAATTATTGTAACGGACCAATTGACCTACATATGTTCATCGGAAAAAAATGTGGTCGCGAAGAAAGAGGAACAATGACGAAGACAACCACGAAGAAGACTGGCGTTTTGCTTTTCGGCGAGTTTTAAGTTGCACAACACCCAAGGTACCTCTGTACATTCACCTTTCGATCCGTTGTTTCAATTTAATTTGATTTTGCTAGAACAAGACGAGAAATGAGTTCGAAAATTTACTGTTACAGGATGGTAATTGAAGTAGTGTAATTTTTGGAGTATATTTTGGATAATATGTAATACAAATATTAAAAAATCGTATCTCCAGAACGAATGGAGATATCATCATAAAATAAAGAACATTTTAAAGTAAATTTGATGAAGATTGAAGGTGCTATAAATATTTTTTTATTTTCCATAAACATTGTTATTATAAGTTTTTAAACCCAACATGGCATGTTTTATTATTCTAAACTTTAAACACAGATGTTAAAAAAATCGTACCAAAAAACTAATTGAGATATTATAAAAAGCAATATAAAGCAAATTTATTTAGAATTTGATGTATGGAAGATCATTTATTTGAAATTTCAAATTTCGGAGTTACGATTTTTTAATTGCAACCTAGCACTTTTTCTGGCCCACATAAAATGCAACATAGCTTAATATTACAGGCATTGGGTAGTTTTGCAAAAAAAGAGTTGGTTGGAAAAGGTGATGTCCTTATGATGACTCTGAGTTTTCGTCTTAAGAGCCGCACGACTAATTGTAAACCCGAATGTTTCTGGTTCTAGGTTTAGTGTTGGTTCTACTTTTCGTTCAATAAAAATATACCACAATCTAACGCTGAATAACAATTAAAATTAGAACCAACACTAGACTTAGGTCTAGAAACATTCGGGTTTAGCCGCATGTCTCTCAAGACGGCTAAACCCGAATGATTCTAGTTCTAGGTCTTGTGTTGGTTCTAGTGATAGTGCTAGTGTAAAACTAGAACTAACACTAGATCTAGAACTAGAAACATTCGGGTTTAGCCGTGCATCTTTCAAGACAGCGAAACCCGAATGATTCTAGTTCTAGGTCTTGTGTTAAATTTAGTGATAGTGCTAGTGTAAGATTAGAACTAACACTAGACCGAGAAGTAGAAACATTCGGGTTTAGCCGCACGTCTTTCAAGACAGCTAAACCGGAATGATTCTAGTTCTAGGTCTTGTGTTAGTTCTAGTGATAGTGCTAGTGTAAAACTAGAACTAACACTAGATCTAGAACTAGAAACATTCGGGTTTAGCCGTGCGTCTTTCAAGACAGCGAAACCCGAATGATTCTAGTTCTAAGTCTTGTGTTAAATCTAGTGATAGTGCTAGTGTAAGATTAGAACTAACACTAGACCGACAAGTAGAAACATTCGGGTTTAGCTGCACGTCTTTCAAGACAGCTAAACCTGAATGATTCTAGTTCTAGGTCTTGTGTTAGTTCTAGTGAGAGTGCTAGTGTACAACTAGAACTAACACTAGACCTAGAACTAGAAACATTCGAGTTACTAAACCCGATACGTTATAGTTCTAGGTCTAGTGTTAGTTCTAGTTTTATTTGTAATTCAAAGCTCGCAGCGTTCCCTGTATTGATTCGTTATATCGAGGTTTTACAGTAAAGTCAAATTATATTGACATGTTGCATTTTATGTGGGACAAAGCAAGTAGGTACGCCCCAAGGTTTATATATTAAAGGTTGTCTAAGTTCCTATGCTGCAAAACTTTGATTTTAGTTTGTGGGCGAGGGGCAAGAGCAGGAGTGTTTCGTGACGTAAGCGATCACGGATTGCGTACGCAACCTCATGGCCATGTGGTGCTCCATGCCTTTGTTTAATTTGAATTGCGTGGCGGTATTATTTTCCACATGTGACGTAATGCGCAGTATGATTGCGTACGAACCTAGACAACCTCTTATATATAAACCTTGGGTACGCCCTGGTTTCTATGAAAATATATTTTTGTATATTTCATTTTAAGTGAAATTCACTGTACCTAGTAAATTTTTAGCAAGCGAATTTTCGCATATCTCACTTCAACTTTTGCGCAACTGAAGAGGGCAAGATGGATTTGCCAAGCTTTACATCACAATGTTTAAAGTGCATGGGGGGTAATGGTAAGTGGAGTTGCATATTTTCCCATTTAAACATAATTTGATTCCTTAAAAAATTTTAAATACCTACTTGAGGTCTATACACAACTCCTAGGGTCAACGATCGTTTTTTAAAACGCACCTCTATCCACAGTTATTCAACGTACGGAAGAAGTTCGTCAAAGATTATTTGATAACTATAGGTATCCTTTACATACACACCAACACCGCCGCCCGCTCATCCCTCTCGACCCACAAAACTGTGACAGTAGTTATCTATAGAAAAGAGTGAATGGTTAGAATTAGAATAGATCCATGTTTCAGTGATGGCGAATATGTCATAAGAACCATTAACTATGATATCCTTCAAAGCAGCAAAGTGAGCAGGCAGTGATCGCACATTTAAATGACCAATCTTCATAATTATATATTGAGATACAGTAGGCAAATTTAAAAATAAAAATAAAACACGCCCAAGTAAAGGAAGAGAAAAGAGAAAAAAAACTAAGAAAAACAGAAAAAAAAGTCTATTATTTATCTATTATTTAGTCAAGCAGGAAACTTCCCTTTGGAGCTGCTGAGAACGCGTTTTGACACCAGAATGTCGCCTCCCCTTGTCAACTGCTAGTTCCTCTAGTTCTAGATTCCTTTAATAACCACGGCTTTATTTCTTGAATTGACTACAAAAATTTTTCCATCTCTAGTCCATGTATTTTTCGGACCCACAGCATCCATGGCAGATTGATACAATTCCATACGTTTTTTGGTGAGAGATTCAGTTACAAAAAATTTGCTACCTTTAAGATATTTCTTGTTCAACCATATCAGCTACGACGGTCGAGTTACGACGGCCGAAACATTTTCTCCGTCTAATTCTTCAATCCCATGGAACAAAAGGCAATTGCGCCTGGAGTATTGTTCTAAACTGTCTAGACGTTCGTCCATATTCATAACTGCATGCTTTATATCAGAAATAGCGCCCTGAATGTTCAACTTGAACATTTCAAACTCTTTACTGAGCCGTTCAAGACTACTGAATTCCTCATTAGTACCTTTATTAGAAAGGGCTGTTTGTAACTTATCCTCGAAAGCTCCCATCGAGTTTTTAAAAAGATTTTCCATTGAAGAGAGCATTTTCTTAGTTGTTTTGGAATCCATAACGAGTTTGTGAGTGACGTCACGTGTTTACAATAACACGAGTTCTTTTACGACACCCCCGTTCACCTCAACTGGAATCGTCGGTCAAAGTTCAACAATAATTTTTCTTAAGAAAATCTTAATTATTTCACACAACAAGATCTCCACATGCACTACAGCTACCAAATTAAAGAGACCAACCGTTCACAAAAACTTAGGTCACCGAAAAATAGGAATACACTACCAAATGAACGAAATTAATAACAGTTTTGTTGAAGCGGAACAGAACACGTCTACTTGTGATCGGACATTTAACCGAGTTTTTCTTGCAACAATGCAATATTTTCAAAATGCAATTAAAATTATTTATTTACTCAAGCTTTTTATAACAGGACTTTAACAGTAACAGAACTACTGACTCAGCCTTGTCAGTACACCTAAAAAAAGAGGTTTTAAATCATTCCTAACAGTTTTTGTTATATTTGTGGCAAATTTTTGATTAAAAAGCATCAACAGCACGTTATAGATGACACATTATATATTTATTGTAATATTTTTCAATTGAATAACATTCTGAACATCGCATCATATTACTCAATTAGTTTTATTTCCAGGATAATCTGGTTGTTTATAAGGATGTGTACTTGAGAAACAAGGATGATTCTCCAATTCTTTATCGATTCGAACAATTAGAGGATAATCCTCCACTTCGACTTTATATTTCCTAGCATTAAAAACTTGAGGTACCAAACAAACATCAGCCATAGTTATTTTATCGCCAACGCAATATTTCCCAGCGGTTTTCGAAAGAATCGCTTCCAAAGCTTTAAATCCTTTCGCAATCCAAAACTTGGGCCATTCCTCATAATCGTCCAACTTTTTCAGCACCCCAGTATTTTGAATGGGCTGAATACTACACACGATCAATAGAACGATTTCCCGAACCTAAAAACACCCTTTTCTAGAATATTAACTTTAATTACTTTGACTTACTTTTATTTTTTCGTCATTATCTTCTGGAATTAATTTATATCCAAAACGATTTTCTTCCAAATATATCATAATATTGTAAGAATCGATCAAAACGCGATCGTGCAGTTTTAAAGCTGGGACAAACCCTAGAGGATTAATCTTGAGAAATTCTTCGTCATGTTGCTCGTCGTCTGCCAGGGATATCGGCTTCAGGTCGTATCCTAAACCCTTGAAATTCATAACTGACGGGCATACAAGAGCACTTTAAAGTTCGTCTGGGTTAAAAGGCATAATAAAATGAAGCTCACCGATCCTCACCCTCCATGAACATGAACTGCTCCACGAGGAATACAACACCGGCTGAAAATAACACTCTTAAGTTATGTTTGAGAGCAGCCCTAGTTTATGAGGAAATCTTTATCACCTTCAACGAAGCCATTACTCCGTAAAGTTATGTTTTTTCACAAGAAAATAAGAGGAATAAATATGTTCGGTTTTATAACCGAATTTAAAAACAAGATTAGATGTGTATTAAGTTGTAATTTTATCGATAGATATTTTTAGAATTTGTAAATAGTCAGATAATACAATTCGATTGGATTCAGAATTTTAACATACGAGTTATTTGAGTTGCCTATATCTTAGAAAATAAATTCATAAAATTAAATACATTTTTTTATTTAGGAATGAAAATTATGAAATAATTACAACTTATAATAATTTACACAAAGCAACAACTTAATTTACTTAAATACATAAAGAAACATCACTTCATCATTAAAAACAACACTTAAATTAAGTAGCCTAAAATAAATAAGGATTTTACTAAAATAAGATCACTCTGAGCTTTAATAATTAATTGAATCAGGTTTAAAATAATAAATTAACTCTTAAATAAAAAAGGATTACTTCCATTTTCTTTGTAAAAGAATTAAAAAGAAAACAGAAAAATTTAGTGATCTTTGTAAATTGAAAATCTTTTAAAATTGAAGTAAAAATGGTAACTTTTGTGATAATTCACTAAAGTTATATTTTCATACAACATTTAATTTAAAATTACTCCTTTTTAACTTTCAATAGCTTTAGTAATCCAATCAACAGTATGAGACACCCGATGATAAATTCCAGGTTGTCCGGGTTGAGCACACGAATATCCCGCAGAAACGATTCCAATTAGATACCACCGATTTTGTTTCTGAAGCATCAAAGGACCCCCGCTATCCCCCTGACAGCTATCTCGACCACCGTTTTTATAGCCGGCACAGAGCATTTCATCGTAAATAACAACTCCGATTCCTTTCGAACGGTGCCATCTTTCGCAAAGTCTGCTTTCGATCACAGGCACTTTAACGGCTTGTAGGGTTTGGGGGCGCAGTCTGGATCCGGGACTCATCGCACCCCATCCGGCAGCCACCCCGACCTCACCCAGGAAGCTCTCACCTTTTGGAGGTAGACAAATTGGAGCGATGTGCGGCAGCGATTGGGCGGTTCTATCTAATCTCAGTACGGCGACGTCGAATCGATCCGCTTGGGGTGTGAATTTGAAGAAAGGGTGTACCTGAAATGAATCACAAAATTATAAAAAAAAGATTATTATGGTTTATTAATGCGTACGAAAGAAAAATTTTGATTCATTAATAGGATTACACAAGTTTTACATGATTTAAAACAAGTTTGCCTATTTTGGTAGGTTTAACTCATCGAATTATTGCATATTGAATTGAATTTTATTCAATGAATAATCTGAGCAAATAAAAAATAATGTAAATAATTAAGCATATGCATGCAAAGTGTACACTTGTGCAGTATCAATAGGGATTGGTTCCAGTATTCCTTAGTTAGATACATTTTATATCGTAATTAAATCCAGTATCCAGTGGATGATTGTTGTATATATTAGATGATTCCTAAAATTCATGGGAGATCGCGCGGATGATTCCAATTCTCAGTTTTTGGGTGTATCATAAACAGTGCCGGCGCTAGCAAAAGAAGCGCCCGGGTGCGGGAAACGGGGTGGTGCCCCCCCCCCACGCATTATGGGCGGAATGCGGGGGGGCGCAAAGTCTGAAATTGCAATAGTTATAAACTAGACTTCAGCAAAAAACAGGAATTACATTGTTCAAAGTCCACATGAAGTCTGAAATTACTGTTCAGAGAAAACAAAACATTGATTATAAACCAAACATGATTTTTGATGGCAATACTTATGTGTTCAATAAAAGAATGCGAAGAATATGAACAACGAACCAATGGACTTGTCTTGTTATTGCACAGGACAGGAAATCACCAATACGGAAACTTTGCCAATGCAGGATAAGCACAAAAGCAAAGTAACAGCTGCGGAAATGAGGTACCTGGTTGTACAAGATCCGTGTAGATAATAAGAGGCTGCCAAAAAGATAATGGTCTATCCCCCCAGAAAGAAGTAGCTGTCAGTATCAAGAACAAAACATACATAACGTTGGCAGAAGACTAGATACTGCTTCTAAAAAACTAAATACGGCTTTCTGAAGACTAGATACTGCTCTGGAAGATTAAATACTGCTTTCTGAAGACTAGATACTGCTAACAGGTCTAAATACTGCAAAAGAAAGATAAAATATTTTGGAGAAAACATACATAACTTTGGCAGAAGACTAGATACTGCTTCTAGAAGACTAAATACTGCTTTCTGAAGACTAGATACTTCCGACAGGTCTAAATACAGCGTCTGGAACACTAAATACTGCCTTCTAAAGACTAAAATTGCTTTGTGGAGACTAAATACTGCTTTCTGAAGACTAGATACTGCTAACAGGTCTAAATACTGCAAAAGAAAGATAAAATATTTTGGAGAAAACATACATAACTTTGGCAGAAGACTAGATACTGCTTCTAGAAGACTAAATACTGCTTTCTGAAGACTAGATACTTCCGACAGGTCTAAATACAGCGTCTGGAACACTAAATACTGCCTTCTAAAGACTAAAATTGCTTTGTGGAGACTAAATACTGCTTTCTGAAGACTAGATACTGCTAACAGGTCTAAATACTGCAAAAGAAAGATAAAATATTTTGGAGAAAACATACATAACTTTGGCAGAAGACTAGATACTGCTTCTAGAAGACTAAATACTGCTTTCTGAAGACTAGATACTTCCGACAGGTCTAAATACAGCGTCTGGAACACTAAATACTGCCTTCTAAAGACTAAAATTGCTTTGTGGAGACTAAATACTGCTTTCTGAAGACTAGATACTGCTAACAGGTCTAAATACTGCAAAAGAAAGATAAAATATTTTGGAGAAAACATACATAACTTTGGCAGAAGACTAGATACTGCTTCTAGAAGACTAAATACTGCTTTCTGAAGACTAGATACTTCCGACAGGTCTAAATACAGCGTCTGGAACACTAAATACTGCCTTCTAAAGACTAAAATTGCTTTGTGGAGACTAAATACTGCTTTCTGAAGACTAGATACTGCTAACAGGTCTAAATACTGCAAAAGAAAGATAAAATATTTTGGAGAAAACATACATAACTTTGGCAGAAGACTAGATACTGCTTCTAGAAGACTAAATACTGCTTTCTGAAGACTAGATACTTCCGACAGGTCTAAATACAGCGTCTGGAACACTAAATACTGCCTTCTAAAGACTAAAATTGCTTTGTGGAGACTAAATACTGCTTTCTGAAGACTAGATACTGCTAACAGGTCTAAATACTGCAAAAGAAAGATAAAATATTTTGGAGAAAACATACATAACTTTGGCAGAAGACTAGATACTGCTTCTAGAAGACTAAATACTGCTTTCTGAAGACTAGATACTTCCGACAGGTCTAAATACAGCGTCTGGAACACTAAATACTGCCTTCTAAAGACTAAAATTGCTTTGTGGAGACTAAATACTGCTTTCTGAAGACTAGATACTGCTAACAGGTCTAAATACTGCAAAAGAAAGATAAAATATTTTGGAGAAAACATACATAACTTTGGCAGAAGACTAGATACTGCTTCTAGAAGACTAAATACTGCTTTCTGAAGACTAGATACTTCCGACAGGTCTAAATACAGCGTCTGGAACACTAAATACTGCCTTCTAAAGACTAAAATTGCTTTGTGGAGACTAAATACTGTTTTCTGAAGACTAGCTACTGCTGACAGGTCTAAATACTGCAAAAGAAAAATAAGATATTGTTGGAGAAAACATTAAAAAGGCGCCGGCGCCCCCTTTTAAGCGACGCCCGGGTGCAGTGTACCCCTTGCACCCCCCCGGTAGCGCCGCCTCTGATCATAAAAGGTAATTGGTTTCAGTACGCAAAAATCGCAGTTTTTACATTGATTGGACCTGGACAACCATGCCGATCAACGAAGCAGTGTTAAATAGAGCAAACACCAAACGACTTGCCGATGTGATTACCAACGTTGTATCGAATTTATAATGACAAAACCTCTGAAGATAACAACTAAAGACTGTCGAAACATGTAAGGTTGATAAAAAATTACTTAATGGTAAATTTTAATTTTTCATAACCCTAAGTTTTATAACATTCTAAACCAGAATGTTTCTGGTTGTAAGTCTAGTGTTAGTTCTACTTTTCGTTTAATAAAAATATACCATAATCTAACGCTAAATAACAATTAAAACTAGAACTAAAACTAGACCTAGAACTAGAAACATTCGGATTTAGCCGCATGTCTCTCAAGACGGCTAAACCCGAATGATTTTAGTTTTGATCCGCTACATCGAGGTTTACTGTAATGTTAAATAATTATATTTTAATAATAAGCACTTTAGGTAGGACAAAGTAAGTAGGTACGCTCTGGTTTCTATGGAAATATATTTTTGTATATTGCATCTTAAGTGAAATTCACTGAATATTGCGACACCGACATCACTATAACTGTTGATATCAAACGTTCGAAGAACTGATAACCTACTTTTTAATAGATAGGGGCAAATACTCTTATAGGGGCTACACATTTATATAATATTTAAGAGCATTTAAACGCATTAATACAAGCGCCTATGCTCAACAAAGTGATGGTAACTTATTCTTCCTTTATTTATAAAAGAAATTATCCTTGTTAAAAATTTTAACAGTAAACAATCTCTTTTCTTCTGTCAATACCTTTTAGTTAGCACATCTCGCCGAAAAGAAGTTTACCAGATGACTTCACTTACACTTTCTAGACAACGATTTAAAGGCTTTCGACTACCGATATTGCAAAAACATCGCAGTCGATTCTGCACTTTCACTATAATGAAATTACCAAGTTTATTGTTTCTTTATAGAATTTTTATGAGTTAAAATTTTTAAAGTAATATAAATAAATAATAAAATTGTAATCAATTTAATTAAATAAACAAGCTTCATTTGCTACTAATTAATGAAGACCTAAATAACCTACATTAAATAATAAAGAAAAATGTATTAACATGTTCTCTTAATTTATTAGAAAGGGTGAAATTATCGATGTTAATTTTTTATCAACCTAAAAATTATTTAAATTATATTTAAACCTGAACAACATAAAAAAGGACCTATAATTATTCATTAGGAGGTGGCGCTAGTCATAGTAATAACTAATAACCGTGTAATATAGCAGTTTCAAATCGTTCGTCTAAAGGAGAAAGTGTGGAATCACGGCCAAATGTTGAAGAAACGAAAGCCAGGCGACTCCCACTTAACGATAATTGATCACTTTCGTTTTCGCATCTTCAACCGAGCCTCAGGCATCCGGACTTTACCGTAACGATTCCTCCGAAACAATTGTTTAATGAAATAATCATCAAGTACAATTTTCGCAATTAATCCTTTACCAACTTATTCATTTATTAGATAAGAAATCTAAAATTATTCCACATCTCTTTGTAAATAGCGTGTATAAGTCAAACGATAGAGAAATCGCTAATTTTAAAATGAACATTATAAAAAGAAAGTCAACGTTGTTGATGGAGAAATGTGATGTTAAAAATAAAATAAAAATTTAACAATAAAAATAATAAATATAGGATGAGGAATTTTTTCCGTATTTTGTTTAAATCGATTTCGATCAACATTATTTCTATCTGCGACCAGGAAACACAATTACCCGGCTTCGTTAAATGGAAAACGGTCATCCAGCCGATTGTAACCGTTTAATATTTACTGGGTCCCTTCGACAAATACATTTGCATCAAGGGTCGATGTATATGTGTTGGTCAACGAGAGCTGCCCTTAATTAATAATCAACATGGACAAAACAGACCTGTATTGAGGAAACGCCGAATGTGTAGGCTGGTAATGGTTCAACAGCCGAATTTATGACGTAATCTCCCAATGTCACATGAACTTGTCTAGGAACCGCTCTTGCAACACAATGTCCAGCTGTGACAACATGTCGTCTGCTCACAAGAGAACCTCCACATCTACAATAAAAAAAATAATTAAAATACAAATTATTAATTAATAGTGTAAATAAAGGTTTATGTAAAATATGTAAACTAATCAGTCATTAACCCATCTTAAAGAAGCTTTCATAAAAATATACGAGGTTGGTCGACCGCAAGTCAATAAGAAGTAAATCCGCGTCGCTGCTTAATTATACAAACCCATAATAAGAGGAAGCAGTTCATTACCTCTTGAGAAAATGGTGTTCCTCATTCCCATACTGGGTAGAAACTGAAGAAGAAAACATGGGAAATAACCTTGGAGTTCGACAAAAAGTGGCGCATACATACTTTTGTTTGTTAACGCGAATTATTTAATTGCCTCCTCCGAAATAGATTCTAGAAAGCCGGGTGATGATGATTTTCGAATTAAGATAAATCGTGAAAGTCGGTTATGTAAAGCAAGAGATATTAAATGATTTTTTTTTGAAAGTCTACACTAACACAATCAAAGAATCAAATCTAGATTTTAAAAACTCTCACAATCATTTTCACAGTCAAGATCAGTTATTCCTCAAGATTACTTTTAATAAAATAAAGATTTAATCAGTTCGCAGATGTTTCAAGTATCCTCTAAAAAAGTGTAGGTGAAAGCCACATTCTGCAAACAAATTCAGAGAACTCTCCGTTACCCTATTTTCGGAGTCCAACACTCCAAAAATAGTCAGACTTGCAATATATATTTAGACATGTTTTCAAAGTATTTAGGAATTCAAGGTTATCTCTGGAAAGGGATTGCTAAAATGAAATAATATTAACTACGAACCATCCAAGACTTTGCATACTTCGAATCTTCTAAACGTAAAGTTTTAATGTATTTATTAACAAAAGAATTTTGTATCAAATTAATATTTGGTGATATTAAATCTATTTCAAAATAATTTGTAATTCGAGAACTTCTGCAATACACTGCACACATTTTAGCACCTTCTGCGGTTCATATTCCGAGAAATATATAGTCTAATATTGTCCGGAACCGGTACCTATGGTCGCTTTATTTGAATCGTTGCCTTTGTTCCATTTGGCTTAGTTGGAGTTATTGTTGAAACGCCAGTTTCCCTTTAATAATTGCAGAACCCTAACAACATTGTGCACAGAATTTTAGTCTGTGCATAATTGATAAGTCGGGAATTTCAAATAACTCGCAATATATAAATGCAATAACCATATATTTAAGAGCATAACTTTCCTTCAATAGATATAATTTGAGTTATACTATAGAGCAATTTAAGTCTTTGGGATGATGTTCGAACTGTTTCATTTTCCTTCCTAAGCTTTAGAACTACCCTAAATTAGTTAACAATGGGTCGACCCCGTTCATTTAGGAGCAGCGACCGATATTAAGCTCGCTTACTCGTATCACACAACACGGAAGTTTTGTATGAACATTTGCGAATTGTTAATCCATCCAACACCACCATGAATAATTTGCAGCTTATTAGCACCATTAATCTAGTTAAAGATTTTTTTTGTAAAAATTTTTTGTTAATTTAATAATATATTTATGATAGAGTTATAAATCGGTTATATTTGAGAAGGATCGTAAAAATATTTCATATCCTCTTTTATGAAACACTTAAGGAGAAACTCCATTGTGACCCTGTATTAGCATATAAAGATGTCGCAAAAGTTGAATTCAATAAGAGCTCTTGTTGTATTCCCGCCTGCTTTCTTTCTGTTATGACTTCATCGTTCTGTTTTCATTTTTTCGCTTCGTGTCGTCTTGTACCTACATTCACTGGCACAAATATTTGATGAATATCGTCATAAGACACCCACAATAATACTCTCTTCCATTCATATCGTTTAATTTAATTTTACAACCTCATTGTTGCACTATTCTTTTTATTTCTCAAAATAATTTTTTTTTCTTACCTTGATGAACCGATTCTAATGTATGCTTGCCAAGGAAACGTTCCAAAACCAGCTTCTTCACCACCCACGACCCTCCTCTGAGCTTGTTGCCGATTAGACACACCACAACCTACAAAATAACAAGATATAATTGATGGGCAATTATCATCGTTATTTATAGAAAAGATGGGTTGTTCATGCTTCACGATAGTAATTGTTACAAGAAAAACGAATGTCAAGTTTAGCTATGAAGAGAAAGTAGGAAGAATGAAGATGGAACATGCATGTTTCATAGCGTGGTGAACACAACAAGAGGTCTGTTTATTGTATTTTATGTGTGTGGTTTTGAGATATACCTAATGGCTTTCTTCCTAGAAGGATCATAATTTTCAAACGTAAACAGAAAAAAGTTATTCAAATCACTTTATGTAACGGATGTCAATAAATACAACCATTTAAATGGTTTCTCTCACCTACTTCTCAACGTATATGAGGTTTTACTGTATTAGTTTATGTTGGTATTTCATAACGCACTTTTTGTTACGCAACATTTGAATCAGTAGAATAGAATATTCATTAAACTGAATTAAAGATGTTCTTTGACAAACCATTACATTCAAACTTTACTCGTACTAATTAGTCATTGAGTCGTACTGCACACAAACCCTTTGTTAATTAGAAAGTGCTTGAACGTTCTGCCTAAAGGATCGACCGATGTAACCACCAAGTTGTAATTGGATCGTGACTTGAATTCTAGAATTCAGGATGTAATAAAATTCTCTACAAAATGGTCACCGATTTAATCGAATTAAATTAATCGTTTATTGATAAAATTAATCTCGAATCTTTCTTGAATAGCCAATTAATATCGTAGTTATTGAGTATTCTTCGTGCGGTTTTATAGACCTCGGACTGTATTGTGGGATAGATAGCATAATAATAATGAAGAAGTCGCTTTTCAGATAATAAATTAAGTCGCACTAAATACAGCATACGTTGACAAAACTAACGGAAGAGTGAAATCTGGGTTAAGAAACTAGATTTGAATCGGATAAATTAAACGGTTGTTATTACTGATGGTTGTTGAACAACAACGATCTGCATCAACATTATATGATTTCTAGTTTTGGATTGGAATTTACATTAATATAGAAAGTAATTCAAAGGGCAAAAACTATAATAGAAAGTTTACGTTAAGTTTATGTGGTTTGAGTATTATATAAAACTATTTAAATACTCTATATCAATTACTCTGACTTAAACCAAATTGAAATGTTGACATAAATCTTTCGAAAAATTAGATGTAATAGTTATTATAACAGCAACCACATTACATAACTCTTCAATTGTAACATTCACACCAAATGTTAGTCCTTATAATATGTTCATTTTCACAAAGTTTCACATTTATTCAGTGATGAAGTTAACCATCCCAAACCAAATCTCCGAGTCAGTGTAATTCCTTAAACCATGTAACCAAAACATTCACACAGAATGTTATAAAAACCATAAAGATATGATATGAAAATAATCTTTTGCAAATAAATGATGATTTCCTTTGGATTTTATAACTAGGTGTGTGAATAAAACTCCATCAGTCAATTGTAAGTGGTGCAATAGCCTTGTGCCAAGCGTTCGGTACCATGCACTTACTCGATTCGTGATTTAAAAGGCTCGAATGTGCCTTCGGTGTTTCACGTGGTGCCTCGAGGGTACCGATCGCCAGACCAGGGCCTTGACTGGTGGCTTTGGAAGACCCTCGTTGGCAACAGCCCCTCAATAGGCCATCGCACGTGTTTTCCAACGAACCACCAGATATCCAACAGGTGATGAAGAACTCGCAGGATGCTCCTGGTGCGCAGTAACCATTCCCCCCTGATTCGGAAGCCAATGATCGGACGAGAAAAAGTGAGGATGGAAATGATTGTAGAATGGAAAATGATACATTTTCTGAATATTGTACAATCTTGTTTAGATCAAGGTTGCACAACTTTAATTCACACAAATAAGTACAATAGATGATTATTTATAGAAGCACTATAGAGAATAAAAAAATAAATAAATAACGTACCCCGATCTCTGGTATCCACTAATTGTAAATCTTGCAAATTTGTATCCGGTGCCAAAAATTGTTCTTCTTGAGGTGCATCCTTAAAAGTTACGGTATCCGAAGGAAAAATCACCCGAGGACGACGTACAGCTCTCCACGAAGACTGTTGATCAGGTCCAGATTGATCCCTCCCAGGTTGGTCATAAAACATTTCTTTATACCGCGGAAACCTAGCCTCTTGTGGAACAAAAGGAAACCTTGCTGGGCGAGTGTACATTCTACTGTCATCGCTTAAAGCTTCCGTGTATTGATCTCTATAATGATAATGATGATTTTCTGCGTAAACAAGGCTTTCATCTACACCAGATGGTTCAAATTCTGATGGGGGTTTGAATCGAATCGCCCTGTACCTCGGATCAAGGTACCTGGGATCTTCAAACTGTCTTCCATTTCTGTACAAAGTGTTATAATTTCTACGTCTTAAAATAGATGTGCGTTTATTAACATTTTGTTGTTCTTGAGTTATATCGTATTCCGGTGGTAAAATTTCTCCAATATGTTCGTTATCATTTACTGTATCCAAGAAAGAGTCATCGCGTCTAATTAAAGCCACCTCCGTTGACTCTTTATGTTCTATCGAATCTCGTGATTCTAACGACTCTGATGATTCTAATTCCGATTTTGGTAAAGAAGTTTGGTTTGTTTTCTCAAAACTTTTTGCATTCTCCATAAGAGCTTTAATGTCATCTTTAGAGAAAGTGTTTTGAATGTCGTCATCTTGAAAGTTTTCACTGGTATCGATTCGTTTAAATCGCTCATTTTGGTGTGATTCGGCATTTTCATTGTCTGTAATTTGGTGATCATCTTCTGTAAATTCCGGTGGAACTTGGTAAGTATGTGGATTTTCTAAAAAAGTATTTAATTCTTCCTTTGTTAATGTTTGAATATCGTAGATGTTATCCTCTTTTGAAATTCTTAAAGCATTCGTTTCAGCGTTCGTTTGAGGAATAGGAGTAGTCGTTTCATTTTGATCGTATAATTTTAGTAAAGGTCTTATGAAATCCCTTTCGAGGAGTTTCTCATAATCGGTTTTTCCGTCTTTTTGGAGAAACTTGTTTATGGTGTCGTAAGTTTCGGTTTTTCCATCATTTGCCTCTTTTTGAATATTGGAAAGGTACTCCTCTAATTCTTTAAGATCCTTCGTATTATTGACGATCTTTTCGACAGTGACAGATTCGTCGGATTTAATGAAGGGGTGTGGAGGAAAACCTTTCCCCGTTAAATGTGGTAAAAGACTAGTGTAAGGTTTCTCGTATGGAGGATCGGTTGCTTGTATCAAAAAAACACTCAAAACAATCGCCAAAACAGCCGAATGAATCTTGTTCATTCTGAACCAATTCCATTTAAATTTTCGGCCACCGGATGTTTAATTCCTTCTTTTTCTCTCTCCCGTAGTGTTCCTCCTAAAAACTTTTTGCATTTATATCGAATCTCTTGTTATTGTGGTTTTATTTTCCTCGAATGTTTAGAAATTTAAATTTTTCGTCGATTTTTTTTACATTAACACATATTTGCAGATACGATGAGGAAGGTCGCAGGTCGGCGCACTATAATACTCACTGGACACATCACAGGCGGCTTTGAGAGCTTGAGGCCGACTGGTTCATCTTAGGCGGCAATGGTAGAGAGTACACACTTTCACAGTCACCACTTTCACTTGCCTCGTGCTCGGTACCACCTCGAGGAATCGACGGCACGTAAAGTGACGGAGGTACGGGAGGACCTTCCTTTTCGACAGTGACAATAATTCTTGGACCTCTATCTGCCGGTTTAATTACCTGAAGGCAACGGTCGCGCGAACGATTAAGCGATGTCGATAACGTCGTCGACGTCGTCGTCTTCGAGAGAGACGGTCTCGCTTTTCCTTTTTACTTTTGGGAAACCCGCTTTCGGAACGATTCGCACAGTTCCATACATTAATCGAGAGACGTTTTCGTCTTGCGGGTTCGACGGCATTCCACGAAATCGCAAAAATTACGCTCACATTCCGAACGACAACGATTATGCTATGGAGACTTTCAATAGGTTCTTGTAGTTGTGCCAACAACTCGATAACAATGACAATGACCGTTTAATAATTCAATGCGTGATGCATTGTTATTGTTTCATTTTAATTTGTTTACATATTCAATTTTTATTTTATATTTTTAAATATAGATTTTTTTGGTCAATTGATGGGGTCAATAATAACCACGTATTTTTGCCTAGAAGATATGATAATAACTATTAGAATTTTATTACACAAATACTGTCTGACAATGAACAAACAGAAATCCTATAACGATACATCAGCATTTTCTTCTAACCTCACAAAATACTGAGCTGTTTCCTCGGAAGTAACGTGCTTTTAATTATACAGGAGTAAAAGCCGATTAATTATCTATCATAACTCCCAAAGTTCTTGCAATCGATACAATATAGATAATAAAGTTTTGCCATTAATGTTGTTGCATCTTCGTAAACCGGTCGATATCTACCCATGGGGACAAATTTAACTTTCGAAGGGTTGGCATCTCTACAAATGATTTTACAAATTGTGTTAACCTCGAAGAAAACAATATCTCATCGATACTACGATATTACTAGTTCAATAAATTTCACTTAAAATGCAATATACAAAAATATATTAACATATGCAGAAATCTGAAGACGCACGGCTAAACCCGATACTTTCTAGTTCTAGGGCTAGTGTTAGTTCTAGTATTACACTAACACTATCACTAGAACTAACACTAGAACTAGAATCATTCGGGTTTAGCCGTCTTAAGAGACGTGCGGCTAAATCCGAATGCTTCTAGTTCTTGGTCTAGTGTTAGTTCTAGTGACAGTAGTAGGTAGCGCTAATTAACATAAAATATCATTATGTTGCATATTTTTATTGCACTCAAACTAGAACTAACACTAGACCTAGAACTAAAATTATTCGGGTTTAGCTGCCTTGAGAGACGTACGGCTAAACACGAATGTTTCTAGTTTTAGGTCTAATGTTAGTTCTAGTATTAAATATTGTTTAGCGTTAGATTGTGGTATATTTTTATTGAACGAAAAGTAGAACTAACATTAGACCTAGAACCAGAAACATTGGGATTTAGCCGTGCGTCTCTGAAGACGGTCAAAAACTCAAGGTTATCATAAGGACGTCACCTTTTTCCAAGCAAAACTTTTTCTTTGCATAACTACCCAATGCCTGTACTATTAAGCTATGTTGCATTTTAAATGGGACCGTGTAAGTACATAGTAGTTTCGTAACTATGGTTACTGCATTAATAAAGGTGTGTCCCAAAATTAACGCAAGATTTCAATTTGCCGCCATTCATGCAGTAAAGTGTTGACAACCCTAAAAAAAAAATCGACAGTTGACAGTTTAGGGTTAGTCTTTGATTATATATAATATGGATTGAGCCAACGAGAGAGATAGCTTGCGCAAGGTGATCGAACCGAGATAGACATAGAAGCGTACTGCCATATAATGGGTGTACAGGTGTCCCAATTTCGATGTCCGCATAGGCTATCTCCAAAACTAAAAGAGATAGAAAAAAAGTAGCTTACATGTCATGATCCCGTTTTTCGAGAAAATGCTAATGCCGAAAACTCCGAACAGCTATCGTCTTTTGTTTTCACCCTATCGGCAAAAACTGAAAATTTTGCAAAAACGACAATCGCGAATATCTCACTTATTATCAAAGATGGAGTATTATAAATAAAACATTATATGGGCAACTTTTTACGAAGAATTCAGTGGCGTAGGTAGAATTTTTTTCCCATCTTTTATTTTCGAGATTTTAGACGTAACTTTATTTTTTTAAATGGAAACCATAGTTGGCTATGACTTAAAATAATTTGTTATTTTCTTCTGATAACAAATATATATAGTTTGTGGGGTATATTTCTTATAGTTATTGAATAATTAACAAAAATTCATTTTGTTCTATCTAAAACTAATGTATCTATTTAAAAGTTAATGTTGCTATGGTGATAACCATAC